ACTGCATATCAACAGAAATGGGACGGAAGTGTTTGCACATTGTCACTGAACTTCTGCTGCTTGACTTCAGGCAGGGAGGATCATTATGTAATTAACATTAGACACAGAAGAAGCAACAACCACATAATTATCCATTTTGGAAGAAGTATTCCTTACTTTTATTCAGTGTGCAAACCATGGCTGTCAGGGGGGCTCACTTTTTTTTAGAAAGGGGGGAGGCACTAGAAACATTCATAACTGCCACCATATACTTGCTTTATGTCTGTATCTGTATCTGTATACCTATATATAATAATCAGTCAACAATTTGACAAACATCATATTGCATATTGTCAATATTTTAGAGACCCCAAAAGTCCACCAAGAATTTTCTCAGGTGAACTCATGTCTCATTAACTATGTCAGCTTTTGTCATCCTAGGAATAAAAAGGATTTAGAAGTGGGTATGCTCTGTATAACTGATGCACTACACCACTTCTGTTCATATACAGTGTGCAGTGCATCCATACATACAGCTGAGTCTACGTATATTTTGGGTACAACATGAAGTTTCCTTTGGCGCCACCCTCAGGACACAGCCAGAGCTTTTACTAAAGTTAATACTACAGTGCAGGAGCTCTGAATTAAAAGTTTTTAAGCAAAAGTAGAGAAGTATGAGCATTTAAATTTACCAAGTACCAAAAGTACTCATTATGCAGAATAATACTGGATTATTATTGTTGATGCAGTGTGTTCATACTGCTGGGTAGCTTGTATGTTTCCCTCGAGAATTAATGAATCGATAATAATACATCATCATTTGTTAGTAAATTATATTTTCTATTCATATTCTGAATGTAAAGTAACTAAATAAATGTAATGCAGTAAAAAGTACAACATTTCTCTCTGAATTAGCGAGAAGTATAAGGTAGCATACAATGGACATACTTTCCACCACTATAGTGATGAAGTTTCAGCCTCCTGGTGTCACCGGCCGTAGCGGTTTACTGTACGACATCAGCTTAAGTTTCCTGGTGTGAAAAGTGCTGACGGCTCTGACGGTAACCATTAATCAGATTGATGCTCGTTGTTTCCTCCCACTCAGTCACACAAACGAGGTCAGTGAAGTTGCTGACAGTTCTGATAGAAACCCTCTCAGCTCAAACCTCAGAGGCGACCACATCACAGCTCAAAACCACACGCAACACCCCCGTCGTGATGTCACACTTAAGGGCGGGGCCACAGCGCAGGAGGCCTGCTGCTCTCTGAGCTCCATATATGGAAAGAGGAAGCTGAATACAGGCTGTTTTAAGTCTATTTTATTTTGTTTTATTTTTTTATTATGTTCACATTTGATTTATTTTTAATCTTTCAAATTTAATGGCTTTTTTTCTTTTTTCTTCTTTTATTTTGAAGAATGAGATTGTTCTGCATTGCACAGTTCTGATTGTTCTTGTGTGGCTGTTTTCATTAAACTAGGAGAATATTGTGTTCAGCTGTTTTCAGATGTTATATTATAAACATCCAACTATGACGCTGCATCATAATCAATATGGAATATGTAAACACTGTTTACAGCAGCTATTCTCTATATACAGACA